GTTTTTTCCCTCTCTTCCCCCACCTATATGTAATTATATCATCCGCAAAAGTCAGTATCCTTTAAACTCCTGGTGCTTCTAGGCTTGCAATCTTGCTCATATACACGTTAAAGAGCACAGGCTAGATGGCGGATCTCTGTGGCAGTCCTGGAGCCAAAGTGCATGGTTCTGAGGTCCATGAGCCGAGTCGGAGAGCAACTCGACGTGAATTACAGATGTGACATGACAAGAGCACTAATGTGATCCATGGTTCTGTGAAGAGGCAAAACGTGACACTGGTCGCCAAAGCACATGATAATGATAACAATGTGGAAGGCAAAAAGACAACCATCTGTGACATGTAATTTCTGGTACGATGCATCAGACTGTTGACTTCTGCTGCTACTTTAATGTAGCTTGCGTGAGTTGGGAGTCTCCTGTTGTTATTGTCCATGTTTTTGTGGTCTTTTCTGATATAGAGGCATTATATTTCTTCTTCTTTACATTCACCAGCTGTGGAAAGTTCTAGTTCATCATCCAGTTCTTGGCTTTAATCTTGTTCCAGCACTTGAGTTTTGTATGCACATCCATTATACAGATTTAGCTTAGCTGTTACAGACTGTTGATTCCTTGCCTCTCAGGCAGATACACTCCGACTTTGAAGGAAGCCCTAATTAGTTATGACTTGCCTTTAGTCTGTCAGTGGGTCTGTTCTTGCTGTCCCCAACAGTGGGACCCCGGAATCCAGACAGCGAATACAGAGATATTCAAAATGTGATATTTAAAAAAAATATAGCAAGAACCAGCTGTCTTATACTGAATGAGGGAGGAAGATAAACGTTTTTATTCTATTGTTGTCATTCACTGATACAAAGTTATAGCCCAGTGTCGTGGCTTTCTATATTTGTCTTGCGCTTCTTCTGATGCTTGAGTGATGGATTTGTTCGTCTTTTGGCAGGTTTCTACTACACCATTTATCCATCTCTTTCTTGGTCTTCCTCTTGTCTACCTCCAGGATGTTTTGCTGTAAAAAGTCTCATTTGCAGTTTGGTCTGGCTGCAGTCTCACTAGATGGCTAAACCATTTCATTCTTTGTCTGTCAACATAATGCAGACATGGTCTTATTCCAACTTTCTCCCTGATGCTGATATTCGTGACCCTGTCACTTCTTGTGTTGTTAGTTACCTTGCGGAGACAGTTCATTTCACATGTAGATAAAAGTTATTATTGATAAATTTCACATAATATTCAAGATAACACAGCACAGAAGGTAGCTTCATGTTAATTTTGTCACTTTTATTATCTTTTGTAATGTTTGCCAGTCTTGTGACTGCAGAATAAATAAATATAGCATCGCTTTTCTATAACAACGAATTGAACATCTCTAAAAACAAAGTTAGAATTGCCTGGCTGCGTTTTAGAGGGACTATGTTATGCTAATTTAAAATGATTCATTGTATAATTTGCAGCTACTGTTACATACACTACATGTGACTTTTGATGAACTTATTTGGGATCAATCTCAAAGCAAATATTTAATATGATATCCGCATGTAGAGGGGCAGGGGCTGACCAACATGATGATGATGATGAGCACAGGATTAAAGTGACTTCTTGGGTGTGAAGTGCATGAGGTGGGAGAGCTGGTGAGAGCAGACTTTCTTTCTGGCAGACCATGACAAGAGCATCTTTCTGCAAAGGACCTGCTACATGATAATGAGGCATACCTTTTTCAAGTATTTGTAGTAGTCACCATGGTTTAAAAAAAAAAAGGTTACTGTTGTAAATGGTAATCAAGACACTAAAAAAAACACAAATCTTAGCACGTATGCGGTCTGGCAACTTAGCAAGGGCAAGTGACATTACATTTTCAACTTTTCTAAAACATTCATTTGACAGTACTGTCAGTGGTAAGAAGTTGAATTGTTGTTTTTATATGTAGTTTGTCATTTCAGTTCAAGGTATAGAAAAAAAAATTTTGCAAAAATATATAAAATATTGACACTACACTAGATTCTCTTCCCCACCCAACTTTTTTTCCCCTCTCTCCATACACACATGTTAAATCTGGCACATACACACAGATGCCTAAATATGTAGCAGTTTTACTAGATCAAGTACCAAGCAAAGAGAGTATGTTTTATGACTGATAGTATAGGCTGCTGCTTCTTCTGCATTCATCCGCAGATGTAATTGCATTGTGCTCCGTTTACAGCATGGCCCACATCCAACTTCTGCAGGCATTTGTTCACCGGGTTAGCTTTCCCGGGTAGAGGTCAAAGTTCATTTGACACAAGGAATCAGAAAATAATCAGTATACCTATCTATAATTTCTCTTTATAATCTGCCTTTGAATTAACATGGTAGGTACATACTTGACACACATAGTGTGTATAATTGAAGAAAATTTTTGAGAACATCAGTATTGCATTTTCAGTCTAGCTTTCATAAAGATATAAGGGGTTAAAAAAAAACAGGTAGTTTTACCAGTACATCAATCCCTACCATAGAGTATGCTTCAGTGCAAACTTGGCAGAGAACATGTCTTGTCAGTATCTGAGCCACAGAATGGTTCTTAGAATACTATCAACCAAGAAGAAGAAAAAACAACATCCTGCATTACCTGGACATCGAGGAGAACGGGTTAGTAAACAGCATCCTCTCCTGAAAGCTGATGTAGTTTGGACATGTCAAGTGTCATGGTGGTCTGGAGACAACTATGATGAAGGGTGCAGTTTCAGGAAAACGCCATCATAGATGGACAAGGGTGTTAAAGATACATTGGCTATGAAAGCACACAGGGCTGGAGAAAGAAAGACTTTTAGGTGTGCTGTGAAGGGAGAGTGACATTCTGTAAAAGATATGCTGACTGATGAGAAGGTCTGAGCTAAATCTTTAACTGAGTGTCAGCTTAGGGTGTCACTGGAAAATCACGCAGAGATCACTGCTAATCTAAGTCAGCCATTGTACTAGTTTGACAGAGTATATTATGGCATATAGCTGAAAAAACTTAAACAGGAAATTATTACTAGTGTTGGTATTCAAATAGTCTATGATAGGACACATCTGACATTGCAGACTCAGCAAACACTCATATAAATTAGGTATTAATTAGCCCTCTGCTATTGTCTGCTGAATAGACTCCAGAATGTATCTTGCAAGACTGTCCTCTCCTGGAGGAGCTGCAAAACAACATGTGGCTACACCCATTAGGCCTGATAACTAAGTTTTGGGAGAGACTTAAGAGACCTCAAGCTGACATCTCAGTTTATGGCCCATAGATTAAGTGCAGGATCAGAGATAACTGAAGAAGGATGCATTTGTAACTCCTTTTAAGAAATCATCATTATCTCGTAACATTAGGTGTTGTTGGGTCACCAGTTTCTGTTGACTGTCTCATCAGCTCTCTCCACCTTTAGCGGTCAGATGTGATGGACTTCATGGTTGCATGCCTGAGGCCTGTCCAGTCAGTCAGGTTCTGCAACCAGGTCTTTCTTGGTCTGCCTCTTTCCTCTACTGAGCCCTGCAGTCGTGTTTTTGAGAGGCCCTTAGATCTTATTACATGTCCATACCATTGCATTTTTGCCTTTTCACTGTAGTTAAAAGAACTTCATAGTTGCCAATGTGCTGTATAATTATTTGGCCAACCTCTTTGTAATGTGGTCTCTGTGTGATATGCCAAAATTTTTTCTGAAACATCGCATTTCTAATGCTTGTATCTTCCTTTTGAGTTCAGCTGTTAAGGTCCACGTTTTACAGCCATATGTAAGTGTACTAACAGCTAGTGCTTTGAGCATTCAAATCTTAGTTTTTCATGAAATGTTTTTGGATCTCCATAATGTTTGCTGCTTGGCAAGGACTGATGTTGTCTGGGCAATCCTAGACATGATTTCTGGTCTTGACCCAAGGTCACTTAAAAGTGATCCTAAAATTTGAAATTATTGTTCAAATTTGTGGCCTTTAACATAGATTGGTGAAGTTATGCCAGCCGGATTATTAGTCACTACTCTTTTTTTCTTTTTTCTGTGTTAATATCCATACTTGGTTGATGTTTCATCGAGCAGATTTACAAGCTCGACTAGCTCTTGTTCTTCCCCTGCCAACCCATTGATGTCAACTGCAAACCCTAAGTTTGTTAAAGTTCAACCTCCTATACTAGTTGTTCAATGGTATTGTTCTAGGGCATCAGTCATAATTCTTTCTAGGAAGATATTAAACATTGTTAGGGAGAGGAGTCAACCCTGACGGACTCCTACCATTATTCGGAACCAGCTTCCTATTTGTCCGTTCAGCGTGACAGCACTGCTGGCCTTGGCATAGGGATGTTCTATAGTACATATGAGTTTTACCCATATTGTACTTTTTCATAGTGTCCTAGAGTGCTGCATGCCATACTCTAACAAAGGCCTTTTTGAAATCAGTGAACACATGCTACAGATGTTTTGGTGCTGTTGGTATTGCTCTAATAATTTTCGTAGATTAAATATCTGTTCACCAATGCTTCTTCCAGCATGGAAACCCACCTGTCCCTCTGCTATGATCTTTTTTGCATGCGGTTTTAAACTGTTTAGGAGTATCTTGAGCATGATTTTACTGGAATGACCGATGAGACTCATAGTCCTATAAATTTGACATTGTTATAAATTCCCTCTTTTTGGGATGGTAATGATGAGGGATTTGGTCCAAAGAGATGGCCAAAGAAAAAGGCATGAGTAAGGAAGAGACATATATTTAGAAAAAAAATTATAGGCCACTTTTGGGTTTCAGTCAACAGATGATATGTCAGTAGGTTAATTAGTAATACAACTTGGAATAATGACAATTTAATCTTCTGTGTCTGAATTGTCACTAATTACTATTACATTTGGATTCTTTCATCTATTTCAGCCATAAAAGAATTGAGAACAGAATTAATTGTGTTCACATTCTCTTGAAGTTCATTCAACTTTTTTGTAAGCTCTTCTCTTTGAGTAACATTTATGTGTAAGTCACTAAGTATCTGCCTGAGCCGAACCAAGTCATCAGTCTTGTTTTTTTAATCCCTCAGTTTTTCCCTTTAGAGCTTTTTGATACTTTTTTATACTTGAGATATCATCTTGCAGTGACATGATATCTATTCTCGGTGTGGAGAGTTCCCCCACAGCATTGTGAAGGGTTGTGTAATCTCTAGTTTGCACATCTTGAAGAAGCAACAACTTGGCTTCAACATTTTGCAACCTTAAGTGAAAATCAGTGTCCGCTGGAGTACATCTACTGTCTAGCATTATCTCTTGTTCATGATTCTTTGTGTCTTGTAATTCTTGCAAACTGGACACTTGTTGTTGAAGAACTTTCAGTTGAACTGTCAGTACATCAACAGCTGCTGTGTTGCTGTCTGTGGTGATATTTGGTCTCTCAGTGGAGTTGTTAGAATCACAACTTGGCACATTGTGCATGGCGGACAGATTTAACTTCTGATTTTTATGAAGTACATCTGTTATTAGAATAAAAATATATTACAGTGATGAATTTATCAAAATGTAATTGATTTTTTTTTAAATGTCTTTTTACTTTAATGTTAGTTAACTAAACATTTTGCAAAAGCAATTCAAAGTTTAGAACAATCCCAGAAACACACAAAAATAGACCAAATATTATAATTTAATGAAATTGATTGTTTTTCTTGTATTTGCTATGATTCAGACTGTTGTAACACTGCTAAGAAATTAGCTTACTGCACATCATAAATATGTAGCCTTGAGAGTATTCTGGCTTAGCGGTTCATACATTCTGCAGTGCTTTATATTATAGCCCCCTCTTTTTTTTTTTTTTTTTTTTTTTTTTAAATTTAGCTTTACAAATGATGCACACCTATATAATTATTATTATATCATGCTCGCATAATAACATAAAGTTTAGATGTGTGTTTTTTTCCTAATAAACTGTTAACCAAGATTCTCAAATTTCCAGTTTTTAATGTTGCCTTTGATTTTAATTACATTTCTGAGTTACTATATGCATTTACTATTTACAAATCACAATGTGTAATATTTGTTACAAAATATGTTAAACCTGAGGATGTTACTCCCCTTCCCCTTCCCCAGATGCCTGGCCTTCATGGATAAGACATTTAAACAAGGAGGATCCATGTTTATGTTGTGCATATTTAAAAAAAAAAAGGTTTTGTGGTTGGAATTCAACAAGAGTATGACTGAACAGATTGTTGCCTATTCCAAATTTGACTGGCTGGCTTTCTACTCCATCAAGACATCACACAAGTGATAAACACCTGATGACACAAAGTGCCACCATGTGGATCACCCGTGGAGAGGTCCCGGAAACCGTGTTCAGCCATTAGACCATATTTATGGTCGGGTTATATTGCGGCCCCTGGCAAGAGCCAGGGTGGGGCTTCTTAATAACAAAAAATTGCATAACACAAGGGAATGACTAGTGTGATATAATATTCAAAATTTCTAAAGAAGAAACTAATAAAATCAATCAGAAAGCCACCAAAACCGGCACAAGATAATTACAGTCTCATGACAGACCAAAGCAAATCATTATTCTGCCCCTTAGAACAGGACCCATTTGAATTTGCAGCATCGTGTACACAAAACTTAAGATTGGCAAATCAATGTGTACATGTAGTCTCTCTGTACAGGCTGTTCTTAATTACCAGCCTTGGCATAATCTCATTCATACTGTACGTGCTGTTCTAAATCACTAGCCTTGGCATAATCCCATTCATACTGTACGTGCTGTTCTAAATCACTAGCCTTGGCATAATCCCATTCATACTGTACGTGCTGTTCTAAATCACCAGCCTCGGCATAATCCCATTCATACTGTACGTGCTGTTCTAAATCACCAGCCTCGGCATAATCCCATTCATACTGTACGTGCTGTTTTAAATCACTAGCCTCGGCATAATCCCATTCATACTGTACGTGCTGTTCTAAATTACTAGCCTCGGCATAATCCCATTCATACTGTACGTGCTGTTCTAAATCACTAGCCTCGGCATAATCCTGTTCATACTGTATGTGCTGTTCTGAATCACCAGCCTTAGCGCAATCCAATTCATTCTATAAACCAATTTTTTAGGTGCATTGCCCCATCTAAGTCTTTCTAAAATGTTAGTGTTCCCTGTGTAACCCAAACTCACACCCGACGAGTCCATTTTCGCATCCCCCGCCTTTTAAACAATCAATTTGTGCCCTTTCCCACCTCCGTGGGTAAATGCTGTCTGAATCACCAGCCTTGGCTTAATCTCATTCATTCTGTAATGCTATTCTGAATCATGATCTTATTACATCTTAATTTGTCTCTCTGTAGATGTGAAGTTCCAGTACAGGTCTTGTACATCCCATTGGGATTTTTTTCTCACTTGAAGAGAGAATGTGGAGCTCCAACAAACTCCCCATGGGGGGTTCTGGGTCAGGATAAAAACCTGCACACAACTCACTTCACTAGGTGCAAGTGTTGTTGTTTTTGTTGTTGTTCAGAAAACCATGAATGCCAGTGTATTGGACGTAACTTTTTTCATTTGTTAAATAGTTGTTACTTCAAATTTATCTGTCCTAAGAAATGTGTACCTTAGAAAAAGAGTTTTCTAGGTCAACAGTAGAAATAAACTGGCAGAATGCATAATGGAATCCGAGCAGCGTTTCTCCACAACCTGCATTCACCAGCAGGATTCATCAATTCCTGTGCTGTCATTTCTCCATGGAAATGCTTCTCTACAGATCTCTATCACTTGTTCTCTTGATCATTGTCATCGATGATATCTGTTGCAATCTTATTGGCTGGGAGTTGAAGTTTCTTCTAGTGGTAACAGCACAGGTGAAGGTTCACACAGCGGCCATGAGTCGTTACCTAGGATATGAGCTAATTGAATTCTGGGCGCAGAAGACAAAGGCTCAGGTAGTTGAGAAGTTTCCATTGTCCAAGTCAGACGTGTGGAAACACTGTGTTGGCTGTTTTTCTCTTTATGAGGTTTTATAGAAACGTTTTCTCTGTGTGAGATTTTGATTTGCCGTTGTTTGCGGGAGACATTTTAGGAGGAGTCCATTGAGAAAAGATTGTAATCTTTTATATCATCCATGTAGATAATAGAGATTTATTATCGTACATATGTTAATGAATAATCATCATCACCTTCTGCCGTATACTGTGAATTACATTAAAGTTTATGTGGCCTGTCACAAGCTTTATTGTTGACTCGTAAAGATAGTAACAACTGTATTAGCTGATGCTGTGCCAGTGATTATAGTATGCAGGACTGTAGCACATTCATCAAGGGGATAACCAGCTGAATATTATAGTAGGCACCCTAGGCCTAAATACTTGGTTGTTGAATGTACACAGTGTACAACAATATTCCCTCCATGCCACCGTCGCAGTCCATCCGTCATCATCTCTCTTGGTCTGCTTCTCTCTCTTCTACTGTTGATCTTCCCAGTCCTCACAACATTCTCCATAGCCTCGCGCACCCCCCTCCCCCCCTGAATCATTTAACAAAAAAAAAAGTGTTTGTCTTTTCCTTATAGCTGTATATATTGATCTGCTCTCATTAGCCTCCTTCCAGCAATTCTCGTTAGTTACTCTGCCAATCCAAGTGATTCTTACCATACGTCTGAAAAACCACACTTCCTTCGCCTCCAAGGTCTTTCTAATTTGTGCATTTACAATCCACTATTCACTACCATACAGCAATATAGATTCTACAAAATATTTTAGTACTCTCGGACATCCAAGGGGAGTGACCTGTTGCACAAGATGTTTTTCATTCTGTGAAATGCAGCCTTAGCCAGACCTATTCTGCTCTTAATTTCTGACACACTTCTTCCGTCTGATGTTATGATTGCACCCAGATATTTGACACATATATAGACAGATAAAAAGAAAGGACAATCAAAGCAGGAGCCGCCATGATGTAGCGGACAGACAGTAGCGACAGGACGGATACGAGCGACAGGACGGATACGAGCGACAGGATAGATGGATAGATAGATAGATAGGGTAGATGTTTGTTTGTTTTAGTATCCAGGAGCTATGAGTTGTTAACCCTTAGGCTCGGTATTATGAATATCGCAACCTTTCGGCCTTGATTCCATTGTAAATATCGTAAATCTGGGAGAAATGTGGCTTTTCTGCCTACCCCCGAAAGTGAACCCGGACCACAAGGAGTTCGTCACCAGGTCACCGAGCAATCCGGTTTAGCAGACTACGCTAGAGAGCCGGGCAGATAGGATAGATATGATAGATAGACAGACAGACGGATGGATGGATGGATAGAAGGAAAGAATATTGCACTATATATGCTGAGAGGACACATTGTAATCCATCTTGTGTTGTAACCAATGACCAGATACACGAACAATGATTATCTACATTTTTAGCTATGCAGCAACTAATTAACCTCACAAAGTTCAGACCTGAAACAGCTTGATGTCATGTGGTTAATGTCTCCACAAGCCCATCCAATTCCATTGCCAAAAGCAGTGCATTCTTAGTAGTTTAAGTTTCAGCTGTCACAAAGCCCACCACCTGTTTTTCAGTCTTGGAGTAAAACAAAAAGTGTTTATACAGTAAATACTTAAACATCAAATTGAGTCTCTGGAGATGTGGATGTAAAGAAGAATATATCGTATTTCATGCAAACAAAAACAACAAAATAAAGAGGTTCTGGAAGGATTGAATGAAATGAGAATTATTAAAATAAATGAAGGAAGGGAGGGGGGGGGGGGGGAAGATAATTACATATTTTAGCCACTTCTTTTTTAGAGTATGTTCTAAACCATATATTTGTTAATATTGACATGTTGTCTCAGCGTGCATGCTATCCGGTAGGCTATCCTCCGAACAACGGTCCCAAATTATCGAGGTCGAAAATATACCCTAACAGAGCCAGAGTAACCTGTCAGTTGCGAACTTCCGGGGACTATACCGCCACCGCCGAATTGCGTACTTCCGGGGACTACACCGCCACCGCCGAGAGTATCTCCCACGCCGCTACGCGTGGATTGGGGACAAACTAAATGGCTGGGACTCACGAGCAAATACAATGAAGCAAGCTGCAGTCTCAGCCATCTAGTTTAGCCCCAATCCGAGATACTCTCGGTGGCGGAAGTCGCCGGAAGTGCGCAATTCAAGTCCCCGGAAGTTCACAAATGAAATGTGACTGAGGCCCTGTTAGGGTATATTTTCGGCCTCGCACATAGCATAGTCACAATAACAACCTAAAGCATTCGCCTTTGGGGATGTTGGCTGAACGTGACGATTTTTTTTTTAGCAAAACACGAGCCATAAACTGCGCAATAATAATTCTGCATTCTTTGTTTTCGGTGCATGTCTCTTTAACTAGTAACTGACTTAACAAAACCAATTTTTAACTGACTCAACAAAACCAATTTTTAACTGACTCAACAAAGCCATTTTTAAAAAAAAAATT